TTATTGACTCCTTGTGGCAGTGGCGCATTACAGAATTTATTGACCCCTTGTGGCAGTGGCGCATTACAGAATTTATTAATCGGTTCTAAATTGTTGTTAGTTACCTGAAAACCGAAGAAAACTTTAATTAGTATTTTGTCAAAATTCTCAACAGACAACAGCGGTCTTTTTAGTATCTAGTAGTAGGGTGCAAAAAATCGAGATCTTGTCACCATCTGGCCAAAGTATCACAAAAGTCATGCAGCATTTCAAAATTTCCGCAGACACTTTATTTCTTTACAGAGAAATTGAGGAGCTTTCCGGAAAAAGGGCACATAGCAAAAAATTGCGTTTGAGAGAAATGTATTTGAAGTTTTGATCATTACTCTACGGCCACTGACAGTGACTTTCGTTCGAAATTGGGAGTCCAAGCTGCGATGAAAAGTACCACCAGTGGCCAGAAATTAATGATGGAAACTTAAAATGCATTTTTCTCAAACGCTATTTTTTGCTATGTGCCCTTTTTCCGGAAAGCTCCTCAATTGTAGGTTGAATATGTTTGAAAATTTCACTGAATTTTATTGGCAGCACAAAGAAAATTCAGTGAAATTTTCAGACCACTTTCTTAAACAAAGTAAAAAAATAAAATGGCGGCAGGAATTTTAAGATATCTCATTTGAATTTTGAGATACTTTTGCTGGAAGGTGACAATCTATCAATGGAGCCCATAGAAGCGATAGGAATCATTGAAAAATTGATAGGTTATGAAAATTAAGAGTTCCACATGAGATCTTGCTGACATTTCCTGACCTTTGTGGGAGGAGTTCTTAAGTAGGTGCGTGACTGTTTCTCACAATCAATCAACACTTTCTTCATTTATGAGCCATGTTGAATGAAATGCCATCCCAAGGGCATTTCTATGAGGCTTGATTCTCTGAGAGCTGACAGTATGGCTTCCTGGTGCTTTTTTATTCTTTATTGATTATTTCTCTATTCTCTATTTTTCTTAAAGGGTAATTTTGAATTTTGTTTGTACTTGATTTGATTTGTACTTTAGAAGAGAAACATTTAAGTACTTACATCACTCAAAATATGCCTTGAAACTGCGTGAGCGATGTCGGCCGGTCTCGGCGGGCTTTTCTTTGCTGGAACAACTGAAACCAACATATAATGAAAAATAACAAATCTGTTACTTTAATCACTAAAAGCAGTGAGACCGATAAATATTTTAGAGAAGAGAGGAGCAAAAAAATTATTTTGAACTTTTCTAATAGTTCTTGTAAAATTTTTTAAGAAAATATGCCCTGAGTTTGAAAGCCTATGGCGACAGTGTAACTGCAGGAGTACGTATTTGGGTTAAAGATAATGAAGACTTCATGACATACTTTATTTTATGAATGAAACTAAACTTGATGTCGTGTCTCGAAAGTTACTATGATTTTACCGCTCCAAATGGAGAATAATTATTGACACTTTAAAGTAACAGCATTGATCTGTTTTCCTTTAATGAAAAAAAACGAAATGGATTTTATGCAACACTGTACTTAAGTGAGATATGCAATCCTGCAGTTTTGCAGTCGATAAATTACTACAGTAGGGAACAAACCAGATTTAATAATTCTTTCAAACTTCCTTCAGGTATGATGATAAAAATTGTCTCTCAGGAAAAATATATGAAAAATTGATGCTTCCAACACATTATTTTTTTTGATACTACATAATGTCAGAAATAAACTTGTTGGTTTTGGCTGAACTTTTAGTGATGAAAGTTGACACTTGTATCTGATTATCTGGCCCAAGAATTTCCTCTTTTAAAAGTTGATAAGGTATCTTAATTGACTCAGCTGTCATTTGATGCCAATGATGAAAGGACCAGGTGGCAGACTAAATTAGGTTTTTTTTATTTGCATAAAAAAGATTACCTTCGGTGTTCTCCT